TTTGTTTGGTCTATTACGTAAGAAAGCGTGGAATTATGGACGTCTTGCACTGTTACACAAATCTGATAACAGATGGATGGAGCTATTCTATGGTGTTAATGAAAATAAAGATACTGACCCTTTATGTATAGAAGCTTCTGTCAACTCTCAACTCTCTCAAATAGATAGAGGATTTCTCTCGTGGATCGTTACTGCTTTTAAGATTACGTTAGTATTCAGTGTGTTTTGTTTCATTTTATGATATATCTAATGTCTAACTTCTTTAATAATATCTTCTTACAATTATAGCGACGATGAATTATTACAACGTGCTGGGCCTGATGGGTTGTTATATATTATGTTTGAGCGTTGCTTAATCATATTGACCATCATGATGCTTATTATATCTCTATGTATAGCCTTACCAATAAATTTTCACGGATCCATGCAACCAGGAGACAGCGCAACATTTAGTCATACAACATTGTCAAATCTGGAACCCACATCTGCTGGGCTTTGGGTATACACAATGTTGCTCTTATCTTATCTACCAGTCGGCGGTTTCATAATGAGACGTCGTCTGAAGCAGGTATTATTAAATAGCCTCTTTGTGTTTCTGTTGCATATGTCAAAATATATTTTTTTCACACAAAATACAAATGTCTAGTATATGCACGCGCGCGCGCGCGTGTGTGTGTGTGTGTGTGTGTAAATTTATGTAACATTTTATGCGATAATCTGTGTATGAATGCAGGTGCGGGATACCAGACCTACTGGAGAATTCGTAGCAAGAACATTATTGATTACGGATATACCGAAACAACAATGCACTATTGAGAATCTTACCGAATATTTTAAGTACGCAGAAAGCAACATTTGTCGATAGATTTTTTTAAAAATAAGTTGATAGGAAAATAATTTTCGTGAATTAAGTATATTCTATCTTCCAATTAAGTTGCCTGTATGTTATTTTATTTTTATACATTAACAATTCTTTCAGAGAAGCATTTCCTACTTTAACGGTGGAGGATATAACATTGGCTCACGATATAAGACGTCTTTCGAAGTTGGATGCAGAAAGAGATTGTGCAGAACAAGCGCGTTTATATTGCGAAAGTTATGCCAAGAAGAGGGAACCTTTGAAAATGTATCCTTATCCATGTGGTCAAATTCTCGGAACTTGTTGCAATAAGGTAAACGTCAGTAAAACTGTGAAAATGTTGCGTGCATAAAATTATTTTATCACTTTGATTGCATAATTTATTATTTTTGAAAATTTCGAATATATTATATACATTTGCAGCAAGTGGATGCTCAAGAATTCTATACCAATGAGGAAATACGATTGACGGCGCTAGTTGAAGAAGAAAAGAATGTGGCACTTAGCAAATCTCTCGGAGTCGCTTTTGTAACTTTAGGTATATAATTGTCACTTATTTACATATTTCTTTTTTTTTAAATTAAGTAAACTTACTTAATAATTAAACTTACGGTTGATAATCAACAGGGACGCCTGGTGCAGCTAAAACTATGCGCAAACAACTGAGATCCTTGCCGAATGTAAAGTGGATTGTGGATTACGCACCGATGCCATCAGATATATTTTGGGAAAATCTGAGCATTCCTAGGCCATGTTGGTATCTTAATGCTGTATTAATAAATTGCGCTTTGGGACTTATATTGTTTTTCCTTACTACACCGGCTGTAAGTCAATTTCTTTTAGCAAGAGCATATTGAAAACTACAATGAAAATTATAAAACCATGCACTTAAATGTATGTGCGTGCGTAGTTATTTTACTTGTTTTTAAACTTTTAGGTTATAGTGACAACTGTTAATAAATTACCAATTACTGGAGAGATTAAGAATCTTAGTCCAGTAGTTTCATCCTTTCTGCCTACTGTATTGTTAGTTAGTGTGGCTGCTCTAATGCCTGCGCTAGTCGCGAGAAGTGAGTCACTCGTGAGACATTGGACCAGAAGCAGTTTGAATCGTGTTGTTATGAGGAAAACGTTGCTTCTCTTGTTACTGATGGTGCTTATATTACCTAGTTTAGGATTAACCAGTGCTGCGGCATTCCTGGACTGGACTGTGAATGACCGAAACAATACAGCACAATGGGAATGTGTATTTTTACCAGATCAGGTAAAGAATTTATTTCTAGCAATCAAAAATATCGTTTTTGTTTTATATTAATTCAATAGGTTATAGTTTCTTCTTGTTACTCCAGCATACGGTGTGAATTTGTACAGAAGTATAAAATTTGTAGGGTGCTCTTTTTGTAAATTACGTTATAACTGCGGCCTTGCTCGGTAGTGGATTAGAATTGGTCAGATTCCCGGAACTCGCACTGTACACCTTCAGGCTCTGTATAGCTCGCAGTCGGGCGGAGAGGATACATGTTAGGAAAGCAGTACTGTGGGAATTTCCATTAGGAGCTCATTATGCATGGTTATTGCTGGTCTTTACTATGACGACTGTTTACAGCTTAGCGTGTCCTTTAATCACTCCTTTTGGTCTACTATATCTTGTGATTAAACATCTGGTATAATAATATTGACAATAACTTGCAATCATATGCTCGTAAAGATATGCATCCTATAATGAAAATATTATTTTGATCAGGTGGATAGGCATAATTTATGTTTCGCTTATGGACCAAGCATCGGTGGTGGCCAATTGGCTGGTGCGGCAGTTGGTGCTGCAGGAGCTGCACCAGTTTTAGCACAAGCTGCTCTTTTAGCTTTAGGCTTAGTAAGAGTGGGTTTATCTCCATTAGCCGCAGTGCAACTCACCGGTCTCTGCGCGAGTATTCTCGGCCTGGTAACCGGCGCTACATTGCCGTTATCAAAACCCAAGGTATTGTTAATAATTTAAACTTAATGAATAGCCTTTGCGTATTAAAGATTTTTTTTAACTAACAGATTTTTATTAAAGAACTTTAAGTTTTCAAGTTATAGCCTACTAATTTTAAAAATAAAATTAGTAGGCTATAACTTGAAAAATTATTTTCTTGAATTCAAATCTTAAATTAGTATTTTACGTAATAATTTATATTTTGTACATATAAAAATGATCACATATATATATATATATATATATATATATAAAA